GTACTTATAGCTTTGTCAATGGTGCATACATATTCGATGCCCAATTTATGTATTTGCTCAAGTTTCTGTCGAGGAAGATTTCCGCCTAACATCACGTTGGCTCCCTAGAAATATGTTTAGACATCCACTAAAGATACAAAGGTATGATTCATTCTATTTGCCACAGAAAAAAGCCGTTTCCTTCTAATAATCTTTAAAATCAGAAGTCACGTGCACACGAGATCTCAGCGTGGGCATAGCCGCCGCCATCTTGATTGATCGTCGGCATGGCGACACCACGCTGAGTGAGCATTGCTTCTTTGTTTGTCGACTTCAGCATGAGATTTGGAAATAAAATTTCTATCCTGTTTAAAGCATCATCCTTCTGTGGCGCTGTGAGTGCAAGTATGCCCATCATGGCGCCTGTTGGAAGACACGGGCTGAATGACTCGCAGACACTGCGATCTAATTTTGCGAGACAGGTCATGCAGAGACTCCTTTCAACGTGGGGATCATGTCCATGCAAGATGCGACCATTTTACGGATGTGCGTCACGCAAATGTCTTTGTGTTTTCTGCGATTCTTGGGGAATTATTTCAGATTTAAGAGTGTTATGATGGAAAATTTGCCGGTATTGTTTTTCGTTTAGAGATCATTTCCTGGAACAAGGACATTTAGTACATTTTGTTCAAGTTAATGACTTCCAGGCGAGTCATCCGTGGCTGTGTGAACGTAACCACGCCGCAATATAGTCTCATAAAGGGAATCACATATAAAATGTAATCACAATTTCTTCTTTTCAAAGGAAAACGTCTTGGTCTACTACTCACTTAGAGCCTGACTGTAGTCTGCAGTATCGTTTATATATGCAACTGCCGTTTAGTTATTACAGCAATGGAAGGAGCCGTATAAAAGCGATATGGGGGGTTTCAGAAAAAAAAGTTGAATCGCTGCAAGTTAAGACGTTAACATTTCGTCCTGGAGTTCATGTTTGGGTGTAACATCATGAGACTGACATTTCGTCCCTGAAATATAGTTATCTTTGAAAAATATATTATATATCTGAAAAATATATTTGAAAACTATAATCCAAATGGAGCCTAGAACAATGCTTAATTTCAGGAGCGAGAGCTGCGGCAATCTAGACTTGCCCAATCATCCCAGACTTGCGTTGGACTTATTAATATAATCTGTTGGGTGGTAGTGCTAATGTGCGAGTATGTCATCCTACCCCTTGGTCGTGTGACTGTTCTCATTTACTATGTGGCTTGACTGCAGGGCTCAATTACTGAGGATCTGCTTATGGATAATGATTGCATTGGTCTTAAAACTGTAGATATTTTTATCAAGTTGCTAAAATATTACTCTCAGCGGATGATAGATTACGGGTTTAGTGGCAGACATGTCCGTGAGCAATGACATACACTGCCGGCAGTACTAGCTTGCTGACAAACCACACCGTTTGATAAAAACGACCAGCCTCCATTGTATGTTGCAGGAGTAGGGACCGATATTTCCTCTCTTCATACTTCGACTTAAGCAAGTTCAAACAATGATATAAAGGAAGTCGCGATATATCGAGCTAATGTAGTTTTCGTGTGTCTTTACAGTGTATATTTTTCATACTTATTCCTTATGTCGTGTATTTAGGTCATTATCTATATTATGCGAGAAGGATCTTCTCAAGATGGATTTACTGTAGTTCCATGAAACTTGGCACATGTCATCCGTAACATTGTTAGGCTGAAAGGTCAATATCAATGTGAAGGGTCGCTGGTAAAGTATATGTATGTGTTTCGAGTACTTCGATTTTCCTGCATACATGTGTAACGTGTGTTGCATGTAGTGGTTAACTCATTCATTGGTTGGTATAGTGAATGTGGGTTTACGCCCCATTTACCACTACTTCAGCTGCGGCGGGGACGCCTGGCCTGAGCCCGAGTGTGAGACAGCAACCATTTGTCCACTCGGCTGTACATACAGAACTTGTCAACAGTAACGCGGTACCTGTTACATGTAGATGCGGGTTGTTCTGCTTCCCTATAGTGCTTGTAAATGCAGCTCATCTTCCTTTTGTTTATATCAAAGGTCAAATTTACACTCAAGGTCACACTCTCAAACATCTGTTACATATCAGTAGTAGATCATAGTTTGTATGTCATATAAGGTACTCGCCAATTTGTCCAAATGTTATTAGATCATTTCTATTCTTTGAGGGAATCTCTCATGCGATGAAGCAAATCAGCATAGTAGGCACCGGTAATCGTCTTTTGACTTTCTAAGTAATCAACAAGGATCACACCCTTTGCATCCCAGAATACAGATGGCCATAACTTTCTTCACTGATCTTGAAGACTTGATTTATTTTTGGTGCCGGAGAAGTGGAATTGTGCCATTCCATGGATTGACGTTTCGATTCGGGATCATAGTAGTAGACCCATGTTTCATCACCTGTTACTAATCTCTTTTGAATTGGACGAAATCCTCCTCAATTAGCTCTAAACTTTCTCTGGCAATGTCAGATCTTTTTTCCTCAAGATCAGAATTAAGTAACGTTTGCACCCAAAGAGCAGATAACTTATTCACCTATAAATGTTCACGAATGATAGTTTCAATGGATCAATGGCTTAGACCTGTGTCTTCCTCAAGTTCAGCAATGGTAACACGTCTATTTGACAGTGTAAGTTTTTCTATCTCCTTGATTGAGGGACGTCCAGGGCTCATCAATGCTTGATCTACCAGGCTTAAACAAAGCTGGCCAACGTTTAACAGTGGAATAGATAGGGCACTTATCCCCATACACTTGTGACATGCGGTCATGAATTTCTTGGGGAGTACTTTTTTCTAAAGTATAAAAACTTGATGACTGGTCGGTCCCGTTCTTTTCCATTTCTGTGTCCATTTGGACGCCTATCACGTTCAACTGTCTCTCACTAATATACACACGGCCTCAACAGACCAAATACACTCGCAATGAACTACTCAAACAATGTACTACATTGACTAGTTCACTTTGCTATGGCCCATAGTTGCAAGTTAGTCAGGCTTGGAACTTTTTACCAGCCGTCGTACATCACAGTCGGACAACATTCGGAACAAATAAGGGACTATTCCGAGCAAAGTACATTAATTTCCATAAGAGACAAAGGTGATCGTAATTCTAAGGTGTGTGTTCGTGTTTTTACTTCATTCAAGTCGTGTACACACGCTCTAAAGACATCCGCAGGCTTTGTGAACGTGCGCCCAACCCGGCAGCTAGGCAGCAGTAGCTGTGTCTCAACAACCCATCTCTCGATCAATCCAGTAATCGCTGTAATTCCACTATCCCTTTCACTGGGTTAAATGATCCGTGCCAGATTAGTAATCCATCAGATGAATATTTACAAGTTGTATTATTTATTTGATAGATTTTTTCTCAAGGTGCTACATTATTGATGTGTTTTACACAAACACTGCGTAATGTACCAGGAATCAATTCATTCCTAACGCTATAAAATTTAATTTTTAATTTGGTATTTGTTTCATCATCAAAGCCTTAGCTTAGTCCAGTGCAGGCCATACGGGCTAGCGGTGATAGTGAACATGGCGAACGTAGTTTTAACAAGGGAGAGATATTTCCCCAATGTATTGTAACACCAAGAATAATGCAAAAGCTATAGATTCCATGAAAAACTCTTGAAAGGAAACATGGTAATAAAACGCAACGAGTATCGCAGGTAATGGCAGACAATGAGTCATTTACACTGCCAAGCATGTCAAAGACCGCTTTAATCGATCGATCTCAACTGCCTATTGCATAATCATATAGAGGAGAGCGTTTTCATCATAACAGCACAAAATCCTGAAACTCCACGCCAAGTGCCTCTATGAACTATCATATTATATTACTCTGAAATCACGAAAAATGCTGCCCGATCAAAGGCGTGGAAAACAATCACATTGTCGGCTGAGTGTAATAGTGCCATCGCTCCAGGCAAGAGGGATTCAATCGGTATGCAATTCAACTGCTAAATATATGCGACTTTTTTATACTATCGATATCAAAGAACAGCAAATGCTAGCTTTTTTAACGTGATAATGTTTCATCGAGTGTTGTGTTGGCGTGCAACCTTAATCCCACTGATAATTCTTACGCAATGTAGCAGACAATAAAACTAATTTGCAATATTTTCTCCTTTGATAGAGCCGTGTAATAGTATTTAAAGACCGACAACAAGTTTGAATTGAAGCATCAGTTATTAATGTCTACATGATAGGACCCCATAAACAGAGGAAATATTCCCCGTGTTCCATGTAGCTGCAGAACGGGTCACCGGGGAGACGTTAATCCCGACCTCCAGGTCACCATCCTCTTTTGATGTTCTCATCCCTCCCAGGAAACAGCTTTTGGTCAGGCGTATTAGCTTATTACGCAACGTTACGCCTATTAGCTGGGAGAGTTGCCCAAGTGGGTATTGTTGGGAGAATATGCTTCTCCAGTATTACATAAATACTTCTGCAATGACAGCAGTTAACAGCAATGATTGTAACAGTAAATGGATTCTCCAAGATATGAAAGAATTATCCCAGAAGAAGTCTGAAAGCGGCACGTGTTTTTTACTTTTTCGCATTTATCTACAGTAAAATGTGCCGTGGACGTGCATCACTTTCTGCATGATTGTTATGTTTGTACGACTTGTTATGCATTGATTTAGTTTGAACTTGTGTTTTTCAATTTCATTTTTAAAGTGGTAAAGTTTCTTTTGGCGGTCAGTTTATTACCCTTAAGATTAGGATGATAGTGTTTCATAACTTTTCTATGTGTGCACATGTTTGTAAATTCTCAATGCTTATTGGTCCATTTAGCGATTCTCAATGTTGATTGGTCTTTTGCCCGGCAGTTTATGTAGAATAACCTATTGGAAACTCGGAATTACGGAGTATCTGTCCGAAGGCTCGGAACTTAAACCATTTCTTCACGAGGGCCAGCTACTTTGTAATTCCTCGTAGCTCGATGATTATGCTCTAAGTTTATATTGCAGATGCACGTCGTACAGCGCCGCTATGTGAGGAAGTACCGACTGTCGGACTCGGACTACGACGACCACGACGACCATGAGGAGGAGGAGGAGGATGACGGAGAGTGTCCGAGGTTCCTGACACCTTTGAAAAGAGACTGGACCGGCGTCCCTCAAATGCTGCTGGAGGACATCTTCACCCTGCTGACTCCCAAGTACCGTCACGTGGCCTCCCAAGTGTGCTACACCTGGCGCTCCACGTTCTACTCCCCCCGTGTGTGGGAGACTTTCACTTTGTTAGAGAGAACCTTGACCCGCCGTATCTTCAACCTCTACAAGGGCTACCAGCGAGACCTCTGTTGTAGGAAAACCCAGGTGTGCCTGTTAAAGGTGGGTGCACACTTCAAGAAGATCATCATAACGCCGATTGACAACTTCTTCAGTTTGTATGAGTTTCTCAGAGTACTGAACTGCTTCTTTGAGTTTTATGAAGAGTTTCCAATGCCCAAACTGCATACTTTCTTGTTCACGTTCTCGTGCGAGAGCCGCGGCATTGCCGGTGTGAGGATCCACGGAACTGGTGGTAAAATCCTAGATATCCTCAAGCTGACGCTGAGAAACATCCGCACTCTGAAGTCACTGAGGCTGAACCAACTCCTCCTGGACGAGTGCGAGGTTCCAGGCCTCATTGAGTCCATGATAGGCAGCTGCCAGGAGACCATGCGGACACTTGAACTCCTCAACCTGTCCAAGGTCCCAGTTCCACTGCCAGAACTAGCCAGGTTCTCCAACCTGTTCCGCCTGACTGTCAGCCCCCAGCACCTGGACGAGGAGATGCTGCTGCTGCTGGGCGGGATGGGGCTGGTGTATCTACACATACTGCAGGACCCCTATACGTGCGACTGTGAGGCAGTGTCGTTCGAAGCATGGAAGCTCTTGAAGGAGATTGCTCCACAACTGAGAGTCATTTTGGAGATACAAGGCCTCACAAAGAAAGATCTCTTGTTCCAACCAAGAGCTCCTGTTGTGGAAGTACGGTTTTCTACGCCTTATTCGAAGATGACAGCCGACATCGCTAGTACTGTCGTGGAGCACTACAGTAAGACTCTGGAATTGTTGGTACAGAAGCACCTTCCTAGAATTCAAGGCCGTAGGTCTTTCCACGACCGAGGTGACTCCCACTTTCTGTTTATTGTGCAGCACTGCCATCGTCTGCATTCACTTGTGATTCGGGAAAGGCTGTCTAATGCCTCACTCATTTTACTGGCAAACAGAAGCAAGAATCTTAAGTCGCTGGTTGTTCGTCAGAATGCCCTCCTCAAGAAATGCGACTGGCCCAAGTCTCCAGACTGGTCAACAGAATTTCATAGACACCTGAAGAAGACAGCAAGGTCGTATGGGGATTCCAAAATAGAAGTAGCCAAAGTGATGGGTCATTTGTGGAGGCCATTGAGAGATGACGAGTTCATGAGATTGTATTCCCGATAACGGATTGCTATGTTTCTTCTGACAGTGTACTCCGGGGCAGGGTGTGTGATATTGTTTGCCCTGAACACAGGTCGTGACTTGCCAAGCTGGGCATATGTATGTGCAGTACACAAGTAATGTTCAATGTCTCTCGAGTTTGTCACTTTGAATGCACTTTTGAAAACCATCGAGGAATATGTGTGATTTGACGGACAATAGCATTGTAAGCAATGTTGAATAGCCTATGAACCATTGTGTGTCTGGTGGGGATGTTACTGGAAGGAAAGACAGATGACGACTGCATGTCCATATGTTCTTATTCTTAATGAAATTAGACTTTTTGTAATGTTTACATATGTGACATTTTTTAAATTATAATTTGCGTTGAGCTATATGCTTTCAATATTGCTTTTCAGTGGGTTAATCCGTTATTTTTATTTGCTCACCTGGCTGAAACTAAGTGAGCATATATGCGTCGTCCGCCGTAAAACAACAATTTCTTCAGACCACTACGCCGATGACGCTGAAACTTCTCGTTATTGTCCCCACCAATGTCACCACATGCTTGATGACGCCCCAATTTCTTCTAAAGATTCTGATCCGATTTCCAACATGGCCACAACAACAATCATATTGATAAACCTATTTAAGGCCATAATTCAGTTGTTTTTATTCAAAAGATAATGAACATTTTCTACACGTGTAGTCGGCAGCGGCGCTCAACACGTTCTATTTGTGCAATATATTTTTGCATTTAAATCTCTCAAAATGCATTGCTCTGTAAATATGTCTCCAGAAACCACGACACTCAGTTCCAAGTAAAATCCTATCTGTTATAAATTTGGTATATGTGGCGTTCATCACATATGTTACGGGTTTTGCGATATTATAATTGTGACATTGTTTAGATCTCTGCTATAAAATTCTCTCAAAATTCACTTTTTGCTCGATATGTGTGTCTCGTCTTATAATGACAATATATGTTTTATCAATTTGTCTCCACGAGGTTGAATTGTTATAAAATATGAGTTACATTTGAATGTAATTTACATGTTGTAGATTAACATGGAGTTTCTAAATGTAGTTACATGTTTGATATATTTGAATTCGTTCTCATTTTTATGCATAAAATATTTGGCCATCACACAGTAAAGTAGACCTGTACATTGATTGCTGCGGGTGGATTATTTACAAACTAGTGGTTAATGTTCAATTTTATATTTAACAATATAACACCCTTGGATAACACTTCTTTGTTACTGTAGTACACATGTACATTCTGTCTATTTGAGATAGGTAAGAAGAACTGAATAACTATAGAAATGGAACGCGGATATTGTTTGTGTAACATTCTAAAGACTGAGAACCGATGTATGGGCGTACATCCAATGAGTGCAGTTATGAACACATAGCTTTCTGGTTCACGTCATGCTGGAACATGAGTTGAGTGAGCTCTTCTGTGTATATTTCAATGTGTCGATGGTCGGCTCACCTTGACAAATGTGGCAAGGTTTGTGAGGTAACTGCTCACTACTGTGACGAAAATGGACAAATAATAGGCCGTCAACTCGCGATAGTGTGGCCAGTAACATATGTCTTTGGTTTTCCACAGCCTTTTCCAGTAATTTTCAATATGGCAACAAACGGAGAAACATCTTGTGTTTCCAAATTTCAGATTTTGACAATATTCCCAGAATTTGGAAACTAATTTACCTCGAAATGAGTTTCCTAATTATAGAGTTATGTGTTTTAAAAATGTTTCCAAGCTGTTTCTGTTTTTCTACGAAGAGTAAACGTCTGTGTGTATTGTACTTCTATGCATGTCTGTTTCCCGTCAAGTAGTAGGCGACTATTCATGGGGCAACCCTAGAGCTGCAGGGAGTGTTAACTTACCAAACTATCAACTGAGCAGCAACATAAACTATACCTCTCAGCTTTATCGTATGTTTGAGTTGCAATAGAAAATATCTTAAGTTAGCGATGACCTGTAGTGGTGCTTAGTCAGCACTGAAAGAATACTTCCACATGGTTTTTTTTTGTTTTAAAACATAATTTGATTTAAAACTTTTATAAATTGAAAAATAAATCGCATAATACACAACTGTTGATGGGTATCTTAGACATCTTATCTTTGAAAATTAATAAATATTCGGCTCATATTTACATGTCAAACATGGCAATGGTCATGTTGTTACAAATTCATTTCTGACCCCCGTCTTCTATGAATCAATTTAATACTTTTACACAACATTACACAGCCAGAGATTAATTTTTATCAACAGTTGCAGGAATGAGTGGTGATTAAATAGACATGCTCAAAACTAACAACAGTTCTTTCAGTTTTCAGTTACATAAAACACAAACTCGGTATACTTTCTTTTGCCTCTCAGTTAACATACGCCTACATACACAGGGCACATTTTAATGACACCCCTCCAAACATTAAATAGTTGATCTGGTAGGGAAGACATAATCTAGCATTCTCTGTGTAACGATTTAAGTAACTTCATACTGTATAAATCAATAACGTGGAATATACGTTTGTGGTAATAAATGCACAAATACTGCGGCCACTGACATGATGCATGCTGTTTAAAATATTCTGGTATATGCCGAACTCAGATACTCCGAGCTGGCCGTGTCCTCCTCAATTCCACTGATCCTCTGAATGACGTTTTGACAAAACATTTGTGTTATGTATATATTTGAATTGTCGCATTTTGATATGCTATTGTTTTATATGTGACTTCCAGTTTTTATTCTTTTATCCTGATACTTCGGCTGCTAAAACTAATACCGTTGTAGTTGTAGTGTTGTACCGATGAAACTGGTAGAAATGAAAACTTGGTGACTCGCATTTCACATTGAAAATAGAAATCAGCGACACTGTTTGTGGAGTTATGTATGAATATTAGAGTACAGCGACTGAAGACATGTCCAGGATCATGTGATATATATGCACTGTCTGAAAATGATTTCAAAATAAAACTTGTGCAGCCTACTCTCATGTTTTCATGTATTCGTGTGTGTGTGTGTGGGGGGGGGGGGGGGGGGGGGGGGGCTCCCTCAACTTGTTGTCAACAAATATCAAATGTGTTCTGTCTGCTCAACTCACCGACTGACCCTAGGTCACAAGGAGCTGTATGTGTCCAACTCACCGGCTAACCCGAGAGTCACCTATAGCTTCATGTGTCTTGTCTGCTCGACTCACCGGCTGATCCTAGACTCACATATTGCACCATGTGTCCAACTAACCGACTGACCCGAGAGTCACCTATAGCTCCATGTGTCCAACTCACCGACTGACCCGAGGGTCACCTATAGCTCCATGTATCAACTCACCGACTGACCCTAGAATCACATATAGCTCCATGTGTCCAACTCACCGACTGATCCTTGTACCTATAGCTCCATGTGTCCAACTCATCGACTGACCCGAGGGTCAGCTATAGCTCCATGTGTCCAATTCACCGACTGACCTGAGAGTCACCTATAGCTCCATGTGTCCAACTCACCGACTAACCCGAGAGTCCCCTATAGCTCTATGTGTCCAACTCACCGACTGACCCGAGGGTCACCTATAGCTCCATGTGTCCATCTGAAGGACTGACCCGAGAGTCACCTATAGCTCCATGTGTCCAACTCACCGACTGACCCGAGGGTCACATGTAGCTCCATGTGTCCAACTCACCGACTGACCCGAGAGTCACCTATAGCTCCATGTGTCCAACTCACCGACTAACCCGAGAGTCACCTATAGCTCCATGTGTCCATCTGACCGACTGACCCGAGAGTCACCTATAGCTCCATGTGTCCAATTCACCCATTGACCTGAGAGTCACCTGTATCTCCATGTGTCCAACTCACCGACTAACCCGAGAGTCACCTATAGCTCTATGTGTCCAACTCACCGACTGACCCGAGGGTCACCTATAGCTCCATGTGTCCATCTGACCGACTGACCCGAGAGTCACCTATAGCTCCATGTGTCCAATTCACCCATTGACCTGAGAGTCACCTGTATCTCCATGTGTCCAACTCACCGACTAACCCGAGAGTCACCTATAGCTCCATGTGTCTTGTCTGCTCGACTCACCGACTGACCCTAGAGTCACATGTAGCTCCATGTGTCCAACTCACCGACTGACCCGAGAGTCACCTATAGCTCCATGTGTCCATCTGACCGACTGACCCGAGAGTCACCTATAGCTCCATGTGTCCAACTCACCCATTGACCTGAGAGTCACCTGTATCTCCATGTGTCCAACTCACCGACTAACGCGAGAGTCACCTATAGCTCTATGTGTCCAACTCACCGACTGACCCGAGAGTCACCTATAGCTCTATGTGTCCAACTCACCGACTGACCCGAGGGTCACATGTACCTCCATGTGTCCAACTCACCGACTGACCTGAGAGTCACCTATAGCTCCATGTGTCCAATTCACCCATTGACCTGAGAGTCACCTACAGCTCCATGTGTCCATCTGACCGACTAACCCGAGAGTCACCTATAGCTCTATGTGTCCAACTCACCGACTGACCCGAGGGTCACCTGTATCTCCATGTGTCCAACTCACCGACTAACCCGAGAGTCACCTATAGCTCTATGTGTCCAACTCACCGACTGACCCGAGGGTCACCTATAGCTGCATGTGTCCATCTGACCGACTGACCCGAGAGTCACCTATAGCTCCATGTGTCCAACTCACCGACTGACCCGAGGGTCAGCTATAGCTCCATGTGTCCAACTCACCGACTGATCCTAGAGTCACCTATAGCTCCATGTGTCCAACTCACCGACTGACCTGAGAGTCACCTATAGCTCCATGTGTCTTGTCTGCTCGACTCACCGACTGACCCTAGAGTCACATGTAGCTCCATGTGTCCAACTCACCGACTGACCCGAGAGTCACTTGTAGCTCCATGTGTCTTGTCTGCTCGACTCACCGACTGACCCTAGAGTCACATGTAGCTCCATGTGTCCAACTCACCGACTGACCCGAGAGTCACTTGTAGCTCCATATGTCCAACTCACCGACTGACCCGAGAGTCACCTACAGCTCTATGTGTCGGACTCACCGACTGACCCGAGGGTCAGCTATAGCTCCATGTGTCCAACTCACCGACTGACCTGAGAGTCACCTATAGCTCCATATGTCTTGTCTGCTCGACTCACCGACTGACCCTAGAGTCACATGTAGCTCCATGTGTCCAACTCACCGACTGACCCGAGAGTCACCTGTAGCTCCATATGTCCAACTCACCGACTGACCCTAGAGTCACCTATAGCTCCATGTGTCCAACTCACCGACTGACCTGAGAGTCACCTATAGCTCCATGTGTCTTGTCTGCTCGACTCACCGACTGACCCTAGAGTCACAAGTAGCTCCATGTGTCCAACTCACCGACTGACCCGAGAGTCACCTGTAGCTCTATATGTCCAACTCACCGACTGACCCGAGAGTCACCTACAGCTCCATGTGTCCAACTCACCGACTGACCCGAGGGTCAGCTATAGCTCCATGTGTCCAACTCACCGACTGACCTGAGAGTCACCTATAGCTCCATGTGTCTTGTCTGCTCGACTCACCGACTGACCCTAGAGTCACATGTACCTCCATGTGTCCAACTCACCGACTAACCCGAGAGTCACCTATAGCTCTATGTGTCCAACTCACCGACTGACCCGAGGGTCACCTATAGCTCCATGTGTCCATCTGACCGACTGACCCGAGAGTCACCTATAGCTCCATGTGTCCAATTCACCCATTGACCTGAGAGTCACCTCTATCTCCATGTGTCCAACTCACCGACTAACCCGAGAGTCACCTATAGCTCTATGTGTCCAACTCACCGACTAACCCGAGAGTCACCTATAGCTCTATGTGTCCAACTCACCGACTGACCCGAGAGTCATCTATAGCTCCATGTGTCCAATTCACCCATTGACCTGAGAGTCACCTACAGCTCCATGTGTCCATCTGACCGACTAACCCGAGAGTCACCTATAGCTCTATGTGTCCAACTCACCGACTGACCCGAGGGTCACCTGTATCTCCATGTGTCCAACTCACCGACTAACCCGAGAGTCACCTATAGCTCTATGTGTCCAACTCACCGACTGACCCGAGGGTCACCTATAGCTGCATGTGTCCATCTGACCGACTGACCCGAGAGTCACCTATAGCTCCATGTGTCGGACTCACCGACTGACCCGAGGGTCAGCTATAGCTCCATGTGTCCAACTCACCGACTGATCCTAGAGTCACCTATAGCTCCATGTGTCCAACTCACCGACTGACCTGAGAGTCACCTATAGCTCCATGTGTCTTGTCTGCTCGACTCACCGACTGACCCTAGAGTCACATGTAGCTCCATGTGTCCAACTCACCGACTGACCCGAGAGTCACTTGTAGCTCCATATGTCCAACTCACCGACTGACCCGAGAGTCACCTACAGCTCCATGTGTCGGACTCACCGACTGACCCGAGGGTCAGCTATAGCTCCATGTGTCCAACTCACCGACTGACCTGAGAGTCACCTATAGCTCCATATGTCTTGTCTGCTCGACTCACCGACTGACCCTAGAGTCACATGTAGCTCCATGTGTCCAACTCACCGACTGACCCGAGAGTCACCTGTAGCTCCATATGTCCAACTCACCGACTGACCCTAGAGTCACCTATAGCTCCATGTGTCCAACTCACCGACTGACCTGAGAGTCACCTATAGCTCCATGTGTCTTGTCTGCTCGACTCACCGACTGACCCTAGAGTCACAAGTAGCTCCATGTGTCCAACTCACCGACTGACCCGAGAGTCACCTGTAGCTCTATATGTCCAACTCACCGACTGACCCGAGAGTCACCTACAGCTCCATGTGTCCAACTCACCGACTGACCCGAGGGTCAGCTATAGCTCCATGTGTCCAACTCACCGACTGACCTGAGAGTCACCTATAGCTCCATGTGTCTTGTCTGCTCGACTCACCGACTGACCCTAGAGTCACATGTAGCTCCATGTGTCCAACTCACCGACTGACCCGAGAATCACCTACAGCTCCATGTGTCGGACTCACCGACTGACCCGAGGGTCAGCTATAGCTCCATGTGTCCAACTCACCGACTGATCCTAGAGTCACCTATAGCTCCATGTGTCCAACTTACCGACTGACCCGAGAGTCACCTATAGCTCCATGTGTCCAACTTACCGACTGACCCGAGAGTCACCTACAGCTTAGTCGTATGTCCCGGAATGCTCATGGCGCAATATGATATACAAGCCAGTGTTCCCGGCTCGGTGTTTAGCATAAATCCATACCTTGGACAAACTATTTCCTTGATTATAAATGCCGCGTTTCCTGGGGAAAACCACCTTTATATCAATGATTAACGGTAAGTGTGCTCGTTAATGCTGACCATGCAGTTATCACTTATGTCACGATAACTGGTCGGGTCGAATCAATAGTTTGGTTGCAAAAGATTCCAGGTTTCCGCTTCTTGAAATAGATACGGCAGTCCCTTAGAGTTTGGATGGACAACAACAGGAACATTCTGTAGTGTGATCAAATCGTTTGACCACGTTAGGTTTATTAAAACCAGGATGAATACCCTCGTCTGCTCCTGTCAGTTGACCTTGCCCTTCTCCTTGTAACGTTATTTTAAGTTTCATTTACATGTCACAACACATGCCGTGTGGGATGTCTCACTGAGAGGACTATTTCCTGTTGGCTTCTGTCAATCCCAGAGCTTCCTGGAACCTGGTGCCGACCAACATTACTTGCAGGGTATACTCGTGCTGATCTGTGCTGCTAGACGGCTGCCGGGCACAGTAGTAACATGTTTCCTTATCCTTTTCCAGTGAGATTTGGGCACATGCAAACGAATAGTACGGAAATGGTTTATAAGTTGTGAATATCAGTTTTCTTCAAATGTAAAGGTTTCAAAAGCAGATGACTGACATTGTGTCATTTTTACCGACCATGCCATGCATAAGGGA